CACCAGGAGATGCCCACCCTCCCAGGGAGGGAGGTTCCAGCAGGCTCCATTGCCCAGCTGCAGTCAGACATGTGCCCTCCTCCTCATCCTCCTCCTCCCCTCTCCTGCAGCAGAGCCAGGCCTGGCTGTAGCGACCACTTCCCACACGTCCACAGCCCCTCTACCACTGCCCCTCCCTGTGCGGGGCTGGGATCCATCCTCGGGTCTCAGCCAGCCCGGGGTTCACTTCCCACTTGGCTGGGGTTTGTGGTTTGATGGCATCCAGCTCACACCCCTGCTCCACACAGCCTGCCCTCCTGCCACTGCAGGGCTACGTGGCTGTGCTCAGGGCTCTGAGGGGAGCTGCCAGGTTTGGGGGCTTCCCTGAGCCGTGTTTTCCTCTGTGGCTATTCTTCACCTATCTGTGGTTTGTTTTTGCAGAGCTGGTCGAGGGGAATGTCTTACTGTCTCCACTCAGAAAGCCATTTGGATACTGGGCCAATATACGTGCGTGAAAATGGGAAGCTGCACATGGTAAATCAGGGTGCAGGAGGCATACAGGATGTCACTCCCAAAACAAGACCTTTTAGGCTGTTTTCCAGAAGTTTTTCAGTGGAGCTTTGCATGAACAGGGAGGACGATAGGGCAAGGAGGCAGAGGACTGATCATTTCATCTTCACGTACACGAAGGAGGGGAACCTCCGCTACTCGGCCAAGTCTCTCTTCAGCCTAGTGCTGGGTTACATTTCTGACAATGTTGATCACATTGACTCGTTGATTGGTTTCCCAGAGCAGATTGCTGAAAAGCTCTTTTCAGCAGCAGAGGCAAGACAAAAGTTCACAGAGCCGGTGACGGGACTGAGAGCTCTACAGAAGTTTACTGAAGCCTATGGCAGTTTGGTGCTATGTTCCTTGTGCTTGCGGAATAGGTAAGTCTGTTCGCTGACAAATACTGTCATCTGCCAGGGCTTTTTGCTACCACACTTCAAGTTTCCCCTAATTTAAATTAAAAATATCTCTTGGGCTTGTGACACCACCTAATTTTAATGAAATGCGCTGAGCCTTATCTGATTTTTCTGCTTGCTTATTTTGTGCCATCCCTCTCCTACAAGTGCAGCTGCTGGTTTCATTCTAAGGTACAAATCTTAGAATGTACGGAGAATTACAAAGGTTAACAGGCTACATCTGTGTTAATCAGGAGGGGATCTTAGTGGAGGATTAAACCTGCAACCGTTTTTTATCAATAATAATCAGCAATTCCATAGCAATCCATGTGTTTAATGCCTTCTCAGGCATTTCATGGGATGCTTTTTTAATTGCTGTTTAAAAGCATTTCAACATCCTTAGCTGACTGTACAGATAAAATACACCCTTGCAAACTGTCTGGGTTTATTCACTATAGTAAATAAAGCTTTCGTCCCCTCTCATTCTGGGGGCTCAGAAAAAGATAATCTGTAGGTAGATTACAGGCTTTGAAGTCAGGCAGGTTTTACCTTTGTTGTGGTTCCCATCCCCATATTGAATGTGCTTTAACAAGGTCCTGTTTAGAGTCCAGCAGCAGCTTTTCTGTCTTCTCAGTGTCCACGTCTTTCACTGAATGTCTTGCCAAGCTTTAAACTGGATTATGTTTTAAAAGCCTTGCTTTTACTGAAGTCTTTCCCAGTAATATAACCAGTCTCTTCCATCTCTACACTTGAAAAAGGGATGGTTTATCCAGTTGAAAATCAAAGTACAGGCATATTCATCTGAAGTGCCAAGGGTGTTCTGAGCACAGTAGGAATGTTTGAGTAGAAGTCAATTATCCTTTGTTTCATCCTTTAAACCTACTTCCTTTTTATCTCTAGCACAGATAATTTTATGGGCTTAATTCAGAATTTAAGCTACTTCTGGCATCTTTTGCCATTACAGAAAGCTGAGTTAAGTATCGAGTCTTTGAAATCCAGGGAGGCATTAAGGCATTTTCTGATGAATTTTATTTCTAAAAGAGGCCACTCTTCTCTCTCAAGAACTAGCTTGTTCTCTGACTGCATGTACTGCTTTCTGCATAGCCGAATTGCGCAGCAGAGGGATTTAGGGGGTATTTTGGTAGGTAAACTTACACTGGGAGGATGTTAAGCTCCCCTTATTTGCATGGACAGAGAGGTGTTCTTTGAGGGATCAAATTAGTCAGCACCCCTCGGTTAAGCAGGGAAGATGCTGACCTCAGGGTCTGTCTTTCCATGGGGAATATAAGGTAAATTCAGGAGAGATTAGTGAATTTGGAGCTTGTCTTGCCACAGGGGCAGTGAGAGGTAACTGCAGGGGAGGTGTTGCCAGCTACGTGCTTATTACTGCATACTCATGCCTGCCATTCTTTAGTGGTTTGTTCCCATCTCTAAACCTCCTACTGAATAGCTCCAGCACAGATGTTTGCGTGGCTGCAGAGTGAATCAGATCAGGGAACCAGCACAGCTAAACAAATAGCCCGCTGAGTAACTGCTGCCTGGACTGTAGGCACAGCTCTGGGTAGTCCTGGACTTTATCTAGTCAAGTATTTTATTGACACGTATAAAAAGTACAATTTTGCCATGTGCCAAGCTATCCTAAGACATTTGCAGTGGATTTTAAAGCTGGGTGAATGTGGGTTTGTCTATACCCCTCCAAGATACAGAGGAACAGCAGTTTGTGAAGTTATTTATGATAAACTGGGATATCATTTTGCATTATTCTGAAATAATACAACAATAAGCTGTAGAGAAGTTCCTAACTGCAATGTTTGCAAGTTGAAGTCTTGTTAGTCCAATATTTTGGATCAAAGCAAAACCATGACACTGATTTAAGGAGAAGACTGGGAATTCAGACATGTTGTGTACCAGTTGCACATAGAAAAGTACTTAATGCAGCTGGCTGATTTCTGTCAATTCTCACATAGATACTTACCAGAAACAACTGCATTATGCTTGTGACATATGAGGACATGCCTGACATGCCTGAGCACTGACAGCTATTTTTTCCCTCTTTGCAGATACCTGGTTATCTCTGAAAAGCTAGAAGAAATTAAATCTTTCCGGGAGCTGACATGTTTGGATCTCTCCTGCTGTAAACTGGGAGATGAACATGAGCTGCTGGAGCACCTCACCAAAGAGGCCCTGTCCAGGTACCAATTTCTTGACATAGAACTAAAAATGACGCATTCTTTCCTGTCACTAAGCACTTTCATTTCCTTTTTTAAGGGGGAACTTTATCAGCCAAATTTTTAACAAAAATAGCATTCCAGAGAAAAGATTTCTGCAAGTCGGAGGTTGAATATTTGTTAATTAATGTCTAAATACAATAACAAAATTTTAAGTTTTGTTTGATACTGAAGATTGGAGAGCAGGAAAATTTGGAAATCAATAGGTAGGATGACTGCTAATTAGGGAGTATTATTCTAAGGTTGTCGTGTCTTTTCTATCAAGATTTTGTCCTGAAATGCTCTGGAGAATGTTTTTAGTGTGATGACTTTCCCTGGGTTTTGTTAATCCGTGTTATAATACCTCATTATTCTCTTTAAATCGTTGCTGTATCTCTTATCAAATCTGCCCTCTCTCATTTTGCCAAGCATTTTTCTTAGTTTTGAGTGCATCTGAGTTTGGCAGCCTTGGTTTAAAGAACTTCAGGGTATAAAGAACCTTATTGTCTCTGTTAGCAAATGTTTGGCTCCAGGATCAGTTTGTCACTGGAGCTCTGGGAATAGCTGCTCCTGTTGAGCTAACAGGGGCAATACAGGGATATTTGTTAGTCCCACTAACCCAGGCTCCTTTCTTACTGCTCTTTACTAATGTTAACAAAGCAGACCAAGGGGTTGGCACAGGATGAGACAGTTTTAAGACATTTTGCCAATTTATCTAAAATATTGACCATAAACTACATGTTTGTGTCTCCCCTGCCAGTGTAAAACAGCTTCTGCTGAAAGACAACTCCCTGTCAGACGCCGGCCTTCGCAGGATGACATCGCCCGTCCGCGTGCTGAAAAAGGGGCTGGAGAATCTGCTGGTGTTAGACTTGTCTTGTAAGTGCCTCGTGGTTCCACATTAGAATCAACCTGTATCCTTTCTGATACAGAATTTACCTTGCTTAGTATTGAAGGAACACAATTAATCTGTTGGCTCCCACAAGCCAAGTACTCAACCCCAGATTCCACTAACAACTTTCCCGAAGGCACGGGCCATACCTGGAGTCTCAGCCACTTGCTACTTCCATAAATATTTTTGATAGGTTGAGACTTGGTATTGTAAGTATTTGTATTGTGATCATTAGAGGGGAAAAGTCAGTCTTTGACTTGAAACATACTGAAAAAAAACCCAAAAAAACCACAAAAACGCCAACCCCCTTTGTTTCAGTATTAGCTTTTGGAACAAATACTTTCTTGGTATCCTGATCATCTTTTTCCACGTCAGGTAACCTAGTTAAACTTTACTTGACCTTACAGGTAACCCTAAAATCACAGATGTGGGAATTGGATACCTTCTTTCTTTCAAGAAATTGAATTGTCTGGACATTTCTGGCACAGGTCTCAAGGTAAAAAAGCATCTACCTGAGTTTACTGGACAAGTGTAATAAATGTTCTTGCCCCCTGACTGCTTTATTTCCCTTTTCCCCAGGATGTTGATGCTGTTATTAAGCGGATCCAAATGCAGATAGGCCTGGTCCACTCAAAAGTGCCTCTGAAAGAATTTGATCATAGTAACTGCAAAACAGAGGGATGGGCAGAACAGGTAAGGGGGAGGGGGTGTCTAAGTCTGTTTTACTCTCTAGAAATTGGCCTTATAGAGTATGAAATTGCTGAATAGGAAAGAATAAAGAATACAGCTTTTTCTAAAGGTATTTCTGTAAAATTTAAAAGAATCACTTTAACTCCTTCCCATGTTATTTCAGACAGTTCTGCAATGGGAGCAGGCAGTTATGGAAGCCATCAAGCCCCAGGACAACTTGAGATCCAGAACAGCAGCTCTGCGCTTCTGTAAGTCACTGCATGGGAATCATAGAATCATAGAATTTCAGCAGTCAGGATTCCAGGCTGGCTTGGCCAAAACTATTTGCATCAAAATGTGCATTTTACAGCATAATTCTGTTTTTCCCCAAAATCTAAACTTGTTTTTTTTTTCCTTGTAGATGGCAAGACACACAGAATAGAGGAAGTAGTCAAATGCACAGCAGTGGAGGCAGAAACAAAAGCATCAGGAAACTTGCAGTTTTACAAGGAAAAAGTTCCAAATTGCCATTTACCTCTGAAAAAGGAGATTGCGGGAAGCCAGGAATTAAAGAACAATAGAAAAAGAGCTTTGGCTGAACAAGAGAGAGAAAGGACTTCCAAACAGAAGCATCTGTGCCTCACTGTGGAGGACTGGGATTTGTTAAATACCTACTGAGTCAGAGAGAAGGGGGTCTTTTGTTTGTTGTTTTCTTGCTGATGACAGGATTTAGACATATTGAGAGGGAGTAACAAAGAAGACCAGTACTGTTAGATCTGGTTGCTGTGCCATGCTTGTGGGTTAACCTGTGCTTGGGGAGGGGTAGAGACAAGGTGGTTGGTGATACTACTGTATATTTTCAATACATAATTTTTTCAAATAAAAGTTTTGTTGTCATCTTTAACCAATTCTTCTGGCATAGGTATTATTCCCAGAAACAGCTGGTCCTATCCCTGCTCGTCTCCTGCCTCCCAGGGGACAGGAGACAGATCACTGCAGCTCATCTATGCTTGTCAAGAGCCCTGGGGAATTAATACTGCTTCTAGAACAGAAACCTCAGCCTGAAAGCACCAGGCTGTGCTGGTGGGGCTGTGACAGAGGGAGGGAGCAGAGAGGGTAAGCACAGGCCTCTGCAGGGGGGTCAGAGGCAGTAACCCCTTGGTAACAGTTACTGCAGAAGCCCAGAGCAGAACAGAAGTCCTCTTTCTTTCTCATTTTAGCCCAGGAAGTAAAAGCTGGAACTGTAGAGATTAGGCCTTGAAGTTGTAATATATTCTCTCTTACAACCAAATTCACTACATTTGAGAGCATTCTGTGGTTTAAAACACATGCAGTGTGCCTGCAATACACTAACCATACTTCTCCATCTGAACACATTGAGGACATCTATAATTCCAGTATGAATTATACATCGTAGCTGTAAAACCCCTAACTACTTAGATCCATTCTGTGTTGGTCTGTACAGCTGTAATGCCACAGGTAACTGTTTATCATTAAATTCTTGCGCTGTTTCTGTCAGAACTGGATGAGGTGCACAGTGCCTGTGAGTTGGGCACTGCAACCATCCTTGTGCTCTTAGGTCTTACAAGGCCAAGTATTTACTCCAGCTAGTGACTAGAGGATATCTTACTTTTACACTGTTGTTTATCGTGATTCAACAACAAAAAAGCACATCCTTGGAAATCATGAAGAGGCCAAGAAAAGGAACTTTGCCTCAAAAATACATAAAGATCAAACCCCCTTTCTCTCTTTGTTCTTATTGCTGCATTTTCCTCAAAAAGTGATTATATACGAAAAAAAGGACTAAACACAAAAACAAAACAGGCATACTTGCATTCAAACCCTACTTTTTTCTTCCCAGAAACTCAAGGCTATTTATAGCTCCCACTGACAGCTACATCAGCGCTCTGCCGAGGCAAGTAATGGCACAGATTGTGACTCAAAGCAGGAGGGAGGAAGATGGCTGTGATGCTCAAGTGCAATTCTCCTCCTGAAGCTGCCTCTGGTGCAATGGCCACCATGGAATTTTTGGCCAGCCCTCTCACCGCTGGAGATCTGCTAATCTGACCACGGAGAGAGGCACAATTTTTTTTACCAGCTGAGCATAAGGGTTCCTGTATTTTTTTAACAGCTGGTTAGTTCAGTCCTTAATAACCACAGTTGTTCTGTTATCCACATACAGCTCCCATCATGAGGGATGAGATTTTTCTCTTCCTCCTGGGAAAGAAGCTTCTCTTCCCTGGGAAAAAGAGGCTGTCCCTGTAGTGCTGCCTCTGAATCACCCCTCCTTGAGCTCTCCTTAAGAGATGCTGCAAGGCTTCCCCAGTGGTTGCTTCAGAACATACTTTGGGGTAACAAAAGGAACAACAGCAACTACAATAAGTCCAACTTTGTTTATCAATCCCAACCCAGCCTTCCTGAGGCATTAGGTGTTTGTGACTCTCCAGTAAACATGGGCACCTCCATTGCAGGCTCTGATTGAGGCTGGAAGCTCCAAACCTCTCTTTGGAGCCACAGTAACATTTTACAGGCCCAGAGAAAACAAGCCATCCACCCTGGCCAGGCCCGGAGAGGGACAGGTTAGTAAATGCAGCTTTAAAATCTCCCCATGCAGAGTTTTGCCATCTTATTCCAGGTTAAGTATGAGTCACAATACTGTAAAGCTATTTATAAAAGATCTCTCAGATCTCCGGCTGTATCCCAGCGACAAACGAGAAGCAACTTTCCCCATTGATCCCAGTTATGGTGACATGCAGAGTTGCAGATCACAGGACAGAGAGGAAATGAGTGAACAGGGTTTTATTTTTAAATATCTGTGACCTGGGGTGGTGATGGGAAAAAGATCGCCTGATGTTTATTTTGGGCCTAGGAAAGTAAGTGCACTCACTGTAAATGCGGGTTTTTCTCAGAGACTATATTTTAGACACAGATGAGATTTTCAAAGGAGCAGAGAAGACCACATCTTTCTTAAATTTCAGTGTCATGCCCATACCTATATCCTGAGGACTGCTTGAAGGCTTGGCTGCCTGATCCTGCTGTGCTGGCAGAGGAACAAAACAAGCAGCAGTCAGATCCCGTGTCGTCCCACACCGCCCTGGGAGCAGCACTTGGTTTTCTGCCACTCTCTGCTCTGAGGCTGTGACTTCTTTTTCCTCCTTTTTTTGTCAGTTTTGGTGAAACATATCCCAGCTCCATGGCTGTTCTCACAGTCCAAGGCTGCTGCTCCAAAACTGCACAGCCTTGAGAGAAGTAAAGTTTATCTACATGCTGGTTCCCTGCCCTGGCTTGCAAGGACAGCTACATGGTCACAGGGACAGTGACCCCACAAACCCTGAAACCCCTTCACCTCAATTTTCCCTGCCATTATGCTCTCCACATTGGCTTTCATAGTTTGAGAACAGAGCAGGAGATGGCCTGAGCAGCAGCTCCCCAGGGTGTCATCCTCAGCACAGCATTCCCAAGGAAGTGTCCCAGGAGCATCAACACATGGACCTCAAAGCCACTGCTGAAACCATCTGCCGACATGTTTTGAATGCAAATAGAAGCTTCTCCTCCTGCCTGTGCCTGTAGAGGCACCAGCATGTCCATACAGGAGGAACCCCTGGCCCAGGGCTGCCCAGACACTGTGTCTGTGCCGGCAGCAGCTGATGAAGAGTACCAACAGCTGCACAGCATCGAGTCAGAGCTGCAAGGCCATAGAAGCCCATGTAGGAAGTGCTCACCTTCACACGACAGGAGAATCCTTGGAGGTGTCCCACAGTCAGTACCCAGCCTGCAGCATGGGCTGCCACGTGCCCCTGGTCCCTGTTCACTGCGCTGCTCCTGAGGATTTGCTTGGATTGGAGCTTCCCAAGTGGGTGGCAGAGCAGGAAGACAGCAAGGCTCAGAGGTGACAGTGCAGGAAGCACCCTGCTGTCTCCAGCACTGAGGGGTGCCAGGACTTCACGGTCTGCACACGTACTCGTCCGACCAGCCAAGGCAGTGCTGGATGCCATCCCGGCACAGCCTCCTGGGGATGCAGGAGCAGTACTCGTAGTGCACAGGGATGCAGCTCCACCACTCCCACCCACATGGAGGACAGGAGGCCACTGGGAAGGATGGAAAACAGGGAACTGAAATGCTTCTGCTGCACCGACCCCTTCCCTCCTTTCTTACACAGGTAAAACCCTTTCACTCCCCAGCAGAAAAGCCACTGGCAATGACCCTGTGACTGTGAACCCACCAAAGAAGACACTACCTTTGTGCTACCTGTGGGAGACAACCATGGAGTGTGACATTGTGGTGACCTTCACGGCAGACAGGCCATCCTGGGAAAACAATGAGCTGCAATTCTTTTTTGTTGTTGTTCGAAACTAAGGAGGTGACTTAGGAACAAACCTGCTGCTCATTCCAGCAAGAGGGGGATCTAATTGGCTTTGAAGTTGCTGAGGCTCAAGCCCTTCCCAGCTCAGAGACGTGCCCATCTCCTGACCAACTACCAAAAGCCAGCTTGAATGGTCACTGCCTATGCATCACAGTGAAACTCCTCCACATCAGCAAGCCATGGAGGAGGAGCAACTTTTGAGTCTGGGGGCAAATCATGGAGCCTTTCCCATCTCAGCTGCCACCAGGCTTTGACACAGAACTCCTGGCAGCTGGTAGGATGCAGCCTGCCTGGTTCAACACTCACATCTTATCCCAGCTATTTTGTGTTTTAGTGGAGGATGCCAGCCTTCAGGCATTTCCAGCAGCATCCATGAGCACCACGCCTATACAACCTACTGCAATCCATCAGCAGAACAGACCTGTTGCCCAAGAAGAGAGACTTACAGCTCCCCAGCTCGTCAGAGCAGTCTCCGCAGTCGTTCATCCCGTTACACCTCTGATCTGCATAGATCCAGGATCTGGGGTTACTGCAGAGGAAAACCAGGTATCCTGGGAGGCTGTGGGGCAAGTCACCTGCAGGGTTGGACACACAGGACATGCATAACTCCACTGGGCACAGACACTGGCTAATAGGGAGATGGCAGCCACCAAAGGCTGCTGTCATGGGGGGTCAGTCAGTCCTTCCCTGTGCAGTGTCAGCGCATGAACAATGCCAGAGATAGGGAAGCTGTGGTTGGAGAGGGGAAGGGATGCTTGTGGCTGAGCCAGAAGCAGAGTCTGAGTGCCCCAGGCTTCTGCTTTAATCAATTTTTTCCCAGGGTGACGGGACAATAAATTACCCATGTAGGTATAAAGCTTTACCAGTGGAAGAAAACTGCATCATGGCTTAAAAAAAAAATCCTAGGAAGATCAGAGGAGCTTGGAGTCTTTGATTCCTGGCACGCCCACTGGGTTTTGGGCAGTGCCATCTCTCAGCATCTGCCCTACAAAGGATCTACCAGGCTTATCTGCTCAGAAGCACAGAACAGGATTAGAGGAACACCGGCTGCTCTGTCTCACAACAGGAAGACTAGTGCAGGGGGGATGGTCACAACAAAACCACTCACCACAGAGCTTCTCCTGCTCATCCTCTCCATTCCTGCAGTTGCTGACTCTGTCACAGACCCAGCTGGCCGGGATGCAGGTCACTCTGTCATCACACAAGAAGCCCGTCCGGTTACTCGGGACTGTGCAGGAGCGGTTCACTGAGGGGAAAGCAAGAAATCCTTTACTTTACTGCATTTTAAAGATATGAGGAACAGATCAAGAGGAATAAAGGGGGGATTTCTGAAACTCATTTGTTGTTCTGGAAATAGCCAGGGGCCAGGATTAATCTCTGGTAGGTTCATGGAAGAGTGTGAAAACCATACCCAGTAATAGTCTGAAGGATGATGGTGCCACCCAGTTATCCCAGCCCTATGGAGCGGGACAGTGGAGCTGAGGAACGGCTGTGCAAGGTTGACACAGCCCCGAACTACCCTGCTCATCCCTCTCCTTCCTCCTGGTCTGTGCTGGGAATCAACACTTCCACACATGCTGATGGACATGAGGGCTGTTCTCATGCAGCATCATTTCTGCCTCCCTTACCAAGAAAATAACAACTCTTGGGATACAACCTGGTGTCCGTGGCAGGAGTCCCAGTGCCACCCCCAAACCCACAGCAGCCACGACGACGAGCAGTGCCATGACAGAGATGCAGACACGTCTCTGTGTGCAGCCAGTGCAGGCACCACATGGGTGGCAGGGGTCTGTTGGGAGGCAAGAGCAAGAGGTGAGGGGCTGGGAAAGGATCCAGCAGGGCTGAGAGTGGGTTTGGGAGGGGAACAGCACAGAGACACGAGGCTGATGTTTAGGGGGCTCTGCATGTGGGATTAGTGGGGGCTGCTGGGGTTTAGAGGTTGATAGTTGAGTTTAAGTAGCCAAACACTAAACACCTCCTCACAGGGAATTTTGCTGCTTGCAGTGGGGAAGAACCCATGCTGCTGTTACAGAGCACTGAGATCAAATGGTGCAAACACCACATCTCTACTGGAGCTCATCCAGGGGATTTGGATGCACAAGGGTGGAGAAAGACAAGCCCCTGCCCAACCCTGTGGGACAGCAGTGCCCCTGAAACACAGGGCAGGTCACTGTAAGGCTGGGGAAGGTGACATCCCAGAGCTTGCTCAGGAGGTAAAATTTGATTTTACAGCACTTTGGGCTTTCTGCCCCAACAAGTGCCCTGGGCTTTCTCCCACAGAATGAGGCTGGATTAACAGCTCAAAATGGTGGGAAGGGGCCAAAGATCTGCCCTTTCCCCCCCCAAAGACATCCCCAGGGCACAGCAACCTTCGGAGGACTCCAGCTTTCAGAAAGTCACATACATAAATCAAACCAAATGCAGAAGCTGAAGGCCAAACCCACAGGTGTTGCAACACAAGAGCAGTGCAAGTAAGAGCGACGTGAGTCACTCACCCTCACCTCAGCAACCTGCTCTGCCTCCAAACCAACCTGGTATTTTCCTGCATTCCTTTGTATTTCCAGACCAACAGCAAAGAATATTACTGTGGTCATCTCAGAAACATAAAACCAGTCACTGAAGACAATCCCACCTGTATAATTGATTTGGGTATAATGGAACTTAAAGAGCTTTAACTAGAATTTAAAAAAACCCCCCAACTTTTAAAAACTTAAAGAACTTTTAAGTTAGAATTTGTCTTGGCTGTGCTTTGTATTTACTTGGTTGTTTGTGTCATTCAAACTCAAGTGAAGGCACAGCCTTTCCTAGTACAGCACAGGACAGCTAAAGTTTATTAATTTTATAGTACGGAAGTTTTACTACACAGAAAGGGTGGAAAATCAGTCCCAAGAAACCATAAATACTGGTTGTATTTTACATTTCAGTTGGTTTATACTTTAATAATAAAGTTAAGCTCTGCATTTTATTAATTACCTCTTTTTCCAGAGAAGGATTTTGTTGAACCACGAGTAGTTACATCACCATTTTTCTAGAAGGAAGGGGATAAAAGACTGTTTACACAAGCAGCACACAGCAGCCACACAAGCTTTGCCTTTCTAATTCTCACACCATCTTATCCAGGAACACGTAATGCACTCCTTTATTGTCACGTACAAGCAAAAATTGCCTTGGTGGAAACACAGCCCAGATTTAATTCCCAAAGCAATCAATCAGATCACCTTTTAAACCTTAATTACCCATTTGTAAAACAAACACTAACTAGGTCCAGCGTTTTATATCTGCACTTTTGTATCAAATTAAGTAGAAACTACTTGAAACTTCACAAAAGCAGCGATAAAGAGGTCAAGGCAAACAACACTATCAAGAACACAGGTACTCTAGGGAACAGCTGCATATAAGGTTTTTCTGAAGGAGGACTGTACCTGGGGGTGAGTTTTGTTCATAATTTCCAGAGCTACAGCCCTCCAAGGACTGCAGGGAGTTCTCTGCACCTCGCCACGAGCGATGTTACCAGGATACAATCCCAACAGAGGCAGGAGAGCAAGGAGCACACTGCTGCCCGGGCACACAAACAGGAGGGGATGGGAAGGGCAGTGCTGAACCTGTGCTCCAGCTCCAGTTGAAAGGACAGATTGTGGTTGGCTTCTCGTTCCTCCTGGCTCCACCTTGGTTTCACAACAGGGCATTAGACAATTCACAAAGGGACATTTGAGATGCCAAGAACCCCACTGCCACTCCTGACGCCAGCTTGGAAGGTGAACACTCACCTCTAGCTGATGCCAACTGCATTTACGCTGGTGACAGTCAGGGAGAACCCCCTTCATGATGAATGCTTGAGGCAGGAGAGTCTGATCATCTTCATGCAAGTCTCCTTGCCCCTCACCTCCTTCCCAAGACAGAGCTGACACAATGACCTCATGGCAGCATCAGCCACATGATCAGATCTCAGGAGAGCTGTGCAAGATACAACCATCTGGAACAGCTTCCCTGCTTGGGCAACAAGCACAGGCATAGAAAATCCTCCAGGGTACTCTTTTACTTGTGTACTTGAACTTCCAGGTCTGCAGTAAGTCTTAGCAGCTCAACCTGCAGCAAACATAAACTTACAAAAAGGTGGCAGCCTTCTAAACTGGCTGCAGGTTTTGGCCCAGCACACGCAGAGGGGAATTTTGCAGGATAAAACGGCACCAGCAGGCAGCTTTGCCATGGGCACAGTGGGGAGAAAAAGCACCAGCATGAAGTGTTTAAGGAGCCCACGTTCCTCTTGCTTGCAGGAGGGTCTATAGGGCTCAAGTGCTTCCAAACTGTGCCATCCCACAGACCGCAATTCCTCCCCAAGCACTAGCAGAACCAGCTCACCAGACCTTCAGAGGAAGGCTGGCAGGTAGATTGTCTATAAGGTGGTCCCAGGACAGTTGCTTTGAATTGATTCAAAGCACCAAACAGTGCCAAACAGAGGAACAACTACAGCTATCTGTAGTATCTCCATGCCCACACATTCAACCCATCCTCAACTACACTGAGTTAATATGGGGCACCATGATCAGCCCTGCACTCACAGAACAGCCAGAATTAAATACAGCCTTTCAGGAGCTCCTCCTTCAACACAGCACCACCAATTTGTCCGAAGCAGCTTCTCACAGGAAAGCTGGTGCTACAAAGTTCTCCTTTTCCACAGGGAATTTGGGGTGAAAACGCCAAACGCCACGTAGCAAACACCCTGCGAGTCTGGGCATCTGCTACAAGGTGGAAGAGTGCCAGACTAAGGGTTAAAACCCCCACATCTTATATTCTTGGATCTGTTTCTCTTTAAAGGTTTAGTTTTCGAGCCTTTATTAGGTGACTGTGAGTTTGCTAAAACTCCTGTGTAAGACAATATACACTGGATATGTTTAAAATGCAAGAGGCATTTGCAAGAGGCAAATGTACATAAGACATGTCCAAAAGGGCATGGTTTAGTGGTGGATTTGGCAGTGATGGGAGAACAGTGGAACTCAGTCTTGGAGATCTTTTCCAACCTAAACAGTTCTATGATTCTACAGCCTGACACCCACCCTCACCTATTTCCTACACCAAGATCATCAAGCTCAGCTGTAGCCAACCAGACAGTTGGATTTTAGATTAATTACCCCACATCAAACACTACTTATAGTTTAGAAAAATGAGCTCATGACAGTAAGAAACACAAGCAAGCCCTTCTGAAGTTAAAAAAAAAAATTAAAAAATTTTTCAAATATCAGAGCAGCTAAAGAGGCAACACAGATCAAGATATCCAGTATGACAGAAGATTATTAATTCTAGCACCTAAAAAAAAAAACAATTCCCCCCAAATGTGCCATGGCTATTTCTGCCAGCAGGGAAATACACACTTGAAAGGATCGCCTCATTTGTGTCAAGATGATTCCATTTTAAATCTGATACAGGTTCAGTTGAACACATGCCTAGAGAGAATATAAAATGCTTCTCCTCTCACAATTTCAATAATTTAAGGCCCTTGATTTAAACAGTGGTTTTGAGCAGAGATCAAACCCAAATTGCAGCTTCTGAAAATGGAGATTTCAGGAAGTCAAACAAAAAATGAGTAGGACATGACATTCTGCAAAGTCAAATGCCAAGACAGCTTAAAGAGTCTATTTAGATTAGAAATCTTGAGAAACAGTTCAATTACTTGCTAGTATCTGATTTTACTGAGGGAAGATCCTTTGACAGGAGCTTACAAGTACAACTCTTAAATTCCTCAGGCTCTGGCTGGTTCTGGGTACAGCAGTGCCAAGTGCCAGAGTGCCACAGGCACAGAGCTCTCTGTGACCCAACAGCACATTGCTGAATCGCTGGCTGCACTGCACAGATCCCCCGGCTGAAATGTCATTAAACAGCAAACAAAAGACAAAACACCCAATGAAAGCACAAGTTGTTTGCTTAACTCGAGCCCAGGGCTGTAAGCAATAAAGTTTTGAAGAGAAAGTTTTGTGAAATCATCGGCATAACAGAGGTTGCACTGTCCACGTTGGAACAGGCAAACAGCCACGTCTGCTTGGAGCTGTAACACTCCCTCTGCAACTACGTGTAATAATAAAGGAAACATTTTAACAGACCTTACAAACATTTCCGCCAGCTATTCAGTTAGAAAAACCTTCGAGGGAGTTCCGTAGAATCACCAGAAAAAGACAGTGAATCGGGGACCATGCATTCTATCCAGCATTCAAACACTCAGAGACCCTAAAATAAATCCAACCCCCCCAACTTGCCAACGCTGGGAACCAGCATTCAACAATCTCCTCAAAGAAAAGAACTGCAAAAAAACAGATTAGAACCACGAGGGACATTGTTAGTTGTTGTTGCTGTGCTAGTGAATCACACAGCAAAATCAGGTCACGTTGCCCATGAGAGGAAGGCTACGGACAGGCTTTTCATACCGAGCCTGTTGTGGTCAATAATTAACCATAGCAAAAAGCTATATAGTCAACATTTTCTATACAGTCAATTTTATTTGTCTGCTCTAATTTCTCAGGAATCAACTTGTTTCTGTAAATGAAGTTACAAGACCAGAATAGTTAATCAAGAACAGAAAGCAGAATTTTTCAGAAAACACAGGCGCTAACTTTACAAGCAATTTAAGACTTAAAGGCTAAAGTTTGACAAAATAATTGACCATGTTATGCTCTGCATGTGAAGGGATATGTCCATAAATTTTAATGAAGTTTCCATCTTTCACAAGCTGAATTCTAGCCTACAGTACCTCACAAATGCTTTCCACCTCAAATATTGCCACACTGTAGAAAAAATATATTCTATTTTTGGAGACAGGGTTGTTTGTGCATGGACATTAACAAGTACAAAAAATTCAGCAGATAATTTTATAATATTTTCTCTTAACTACAACAGAAAGTGCAACACTAAAAAGGCATCTCCTGCCTACTTAAAATTTCTTATACCTTTACAAAGCTAACTCTGAATGTACACATTACATCCTAGAACACACAAAAACGTTTGAAAGTGTCCTGGCAGAAGTATGGAAAGCATGCTTACAGCTTTTGTAAGCAAAAAGACACATAGCAAACACCAGTGAAAAGTGATTATGCCTGGAAACAAACATGAATTCATGTCTGAATCTTCACTACTAGTTGAAAACAAAATCCCGTGACATTTGTTGATTCTGCAACTTTATTTGCATTTAAAGACTGGCTTCTAAGTTTCTCATCTGAAGAACCACCACAATCAATCAGGAGTTGCTATCTCTGTTAAAATTAGTCTATTGGATCCAATGGAGACATTTAAATTGCAGATTGATCCAGATTGACTTTTGTAGGAAGAGGTCCTGCTTCTTCATGTTCCTCAGTCTTGCATCTAACCACAACAAGTGCAGAGGGTGGGTATCTGCTCAGTTTTTGCTCATTCATGTATTCCAAATCTCCATAGATGCTCAGCTTCTGAAATATTTAAACAAGGAACTTTAGGACAAAGACTCTCCATACTGAGAATAAAAGGAATTTCATTATGCAACTGCATTCCAGGTTCTGATGGCTGCAGCCCTGCCACACAAGCTAACCCAGGCTTCTGTCACATCTGAAATTCATGGCTAGAACTAGACTTGCATCCAAAAGTATATTAAATCTGCCAGAAAAATAGCAGATACAGTGCTCATGTAACAGTTCCTTTGATTTGCAAATACTGTGAGCCAGGACTCTCTGGGCACTAGGAAAGTGCCCCCCCGATCAGACTCTGCACTCACCAACACCACTCTGTCATGTTCTCACTGTTGATCCTCCTGGATTCAACCCACACTGGGTTCAACATATACCACCCAACCCTCGGAATAGCTTTACTCCCAGAGAAATCAGAATCAGCCTCCACTGGTGTCACTAGGACAACTGGTTAAGAGTAATCCGAAAGTTGTCAAGAGGAAAGTGCTACAAACCAGAAGACATTCTGTCTGGGTTGCCTGAGCAAGGCTCAGAGCTCCTCCGGGCCTCAGGAATGAGCAAGAACTGCTCAGCTATAAAATCATACTTTACATAAACAAAATTGTTTTGCTAACCACATCCTCAAAAATAAACCCTCCTCTTTCCAGATGAACTTCCCACAAATGTTTCTTAGTCTCTAGACAGCTG